ATGATGGGCAGTAAAGTGACTTTATAAAGGGCGGGGGGACAGGTTAAGAAGTGTTCAAGAGTCCAACAGCAGAGGGGAAGAAACTGTTCTTGTGGCAGGAGGTTCTAGTCCTGATGGACCGCAGTCTCCTGCCTGAGGGGAGTGGTTGGAATAGTCCATGTGCAGGGTGAGAGGGGTCGGCTATGATACGACCAGCCCGGCCTCGAGCTCGGGCGACGTACAGGTCCTGCAGCGCTGTAGTTTCTGTTTGTCCCTGACTGTGGCTGGACTCGATGATGGCCGTGTAGAACTGCACCAACATCTGTGCAGGCAGCTTGGCTTTCCTGAGCTGCCGCAGGAAGTACATCCTCTGCTGGGCCTTCTTGATGAGGCCCACTTGAGGTCCTGGGTGATGGTGGTGCCCAGGAAACATTAGGACTCCACAGAGGTGATGGGGGAGTCCATCACGGAGGGTGGGGGCGGGGGGACAGTGCTCTTCCTGAAGTCCACAATCATCTCCACTGTCTTCTGGGCGTTCAGCTCCAGGTTGTTACCACTGCACCAGGACACCAGCCGGTCCACCTCCCTCCTGTAGGCGGACTCATCATTGTTGGAGATGAGTCCAATGAGGGTGGTATCGTCCACAAACTTGATCAGCTTCACGGAGTCGTGGCTGGAGGTGCAGTGGTTGGTGTACAGGGAGAAGAGCAAGGGAGAAAGAACACAGCCCTGTGGGGCTCCTGTATTTATAATCCGAGAGTCCGAGACATTCTTCCCCAGACGCACTCGCTGCTTCCTGTCTGTCAGGAAGTCAGTGATCCACCTGCAGGTGGAATCGGGCACGTTGAGCTGAGAGAGCTTGTCCTGGAGCAGGGATGGCAGGATCGAGTTGAAGGCAGAGCTGAAGTCCACGAACAGGACCCTGGCGTAGGTCCCGGGGAGTCCAGGTGCTGTAGGATGTGGTGGAGGGCCAGGTTAATGGCGTTGTCTACAGATCTGTTGGCTCTGTAGGCGAACTGCAGGGGGTCCAGGAGGGGGGAGGTGAAGGACTTGAGATGGGACAGGACCAGGCGTTGAAATGACTTCATGACGACAGACGTAAGTCTCAGTGACTCGGGACTCACAGGACTCAGGACTCAGTGACTACAGACTACGTCTGTAGTCACTGAGTCCTGTGATCCTGGGCTTTTTCGGGACGGGAACAATGATGGAGGATTTGAAGCAGGCCGGGACATGGCAGGACTGCAGAGAGGAGTTGAAAATGTCAGTGAACACAGGCGTAAGCTCACTGGCGCAGTGTCTCAGAGTGGCCGGAGACACGTGGTCCGGGCCAGGAGCTTTGCAGGGGTGCAGCCTCAAGAAGAGTTGTTTGATATCTTTAGAGGCTATTGTCAGGGTGGGGGCAGTAGTTAGACCACATCACAGCAACCCATCAGGAATATTTTTATATGTTACATAATAACGTTCATTTTCAAAAGATAACCTTAACTGCATGATGTTACTTATTGCACATAACTCAGCTGGCGTGTTGGCCTCTATCTTCCGTTTTGGCTTGAGTTACGGTGATTAGGGTAGTCCCTTAGTTTCCCCTTTAGTTAAAGGGCTGTGTTTTTTGCCAGATTATGTCCCAACCAGGTTTACGGCTGAGAATACAGGAGAATGACAGAAATGGACCAGCAAGTTGACATGCCTACAGTCTGATGTTTTAGTAGTCCATTTTCTAAATGATCCACAATCTTGGGACTTGAAGCCAAAGGGTTATTTTGACATTATTGTGTTATTCAAACACAATTGCTGCTGAGACCCTCTGTGGTACCCTAATGTGTATCAAACAGAATTGCTCTATTAGATTTCCAGGATAAGACATACATGCTGAACTCTGGTTATGTCTCAGGAGGCTAGTACACTGATACTGTGCTTCATGCTGCGTCTGGCAATTGCATAGAATTGCCCATTTAAAGCGATATGTCCAAATAGTATACCCATCTTTGTGCTTTTATCTGCCTGCTTCAACATCCTGGACATTGTTTTTGTTTGAATAGCAGTCTATGATGGTATAAATGTTGTATCTGTTTCATCCAGCATTTTTTTGTAAAGAAGCGTTTGTCATACATCTGGTGTGTGGCGATGAGAGGAAGACATCCCTGAGTCACAGCATGTCCTTTCCTGCTCCTTTGGGGAAGTGCTTTGAAGACTGAGGCCTTTAAGAACACAGTGTCAATGAAAACACTTTGATATTTAGATCCAGCTGACACTTTCTGTCTTGTATTTGCGTTGCTCCCAGTTGCTCTCTGCTTCGGAATGCCCCCTTTCATATAATTAGTCATGATTTCACTGGGTTATTAGGCAAATTAAATCTATGAAAAGAAGTCAGGTGCTACAAATTGGTTGACTAATAACAGTTAATGACAAATTCACGACTTTCCTTATTCCATTCAACTTCCTTTCCCTAGTTTATCTTCAACTAATCATCCTTTGGGGAACCACTGTGTTGTTAATGAAGTTTTTTCTTTCTCCAACTGATAATGCAATAGTGGTAGTAGTAGTTAGGGCTGCACAATTAATCGCATTGGAAACTAAAAATTTTAGGAACTGCAATTTGCAAATGTTTAGTTTTTGCAAAGACTGTTTAGGACTCTAAAACAGGCTTAGAAATCAGTGCAAATGTAAAGGTAGTGGCTCTCTGTATTTGAGTGCATTTTGACTGTTTGATTTCTTATTGAAAAATGCTTGTCCAGTCTTGTTATTATTTATTTCAAATACAATTTCAACAGTGAAAATATTGAATAAATAAAGAAATACAAACTATTTTTACTCGCATGTCTGAATTCGCCCGGTGTACTTTGAACATTACCCTCACCTCACAATAGAAAGCTCAAAACAAATCATAATCACAATCTTAGAAATTAGATTATCTTCATGCTCAAACATGGGTTTCAATGTCACGTATATTGTTTGTACTTTGTTTCACCAAACTGTTAGCATAGCCTTCATTTTTTAACACAACTTGTGCGATGTTCACGTTCACTGTCGACCTGTTCTCGTAGTGTGCATAGAATTCCACTCATTCTCAGCGTGGAGTGAATTCATAACCTTCCTGTTCACCATGTAACCTTCTGACTGTAAAGGTTGTTCAACGTACATGCCTTAACTACAAGTGCAATAAAATCAATACCACCTGCTTTGCTTGCTGCACCTCTACAGATTCTTTGTACACATTCTGGTTTGAAGCTATAAACATAAAGTTACTGCAGGCTAAGGTCATACAACTGGTGGAGGATTATGAAATATATCTCAAAAAGCACTGGGAGTGTATAGAATAGGAACAAGAGTCTGGAGAAACAATTGCGGCTATAACCTTTATTTGACAAGGACACCATTATTTTTCCACCACGGCTACTTTTGCAGCCGTGCACTTTGGTCAGTCAAGATGCTACCACATATTTTATACACAAATCCCATGGAAATGTTGGGATGATACAACAAACTGTTTAGTGCATTGATATTTCTGTAAAGCTATCACTTACAATGATGAATGCTTACGTTGAATCGAAAGTCAGTGTTTACCAAAGGATAAAACGTAAATAGACTAGCGTGAATTGGATGGCTGTTCTCACTAAGGTAAAAATACTTCACTGTACATTTTTATACCTTTACAATTCAAAGGAGATTAATTTGTGTTCGTTTGATATTTTGGAAGGTGGTTAACTTTTAGCTTGACGTTTGATTACAGTGTATATTGTATTAGCTGACAGAAGAATGCAATAAAAATAGATTGGGTACACAGAGAACTCTCGGATGAGCACACAATAGCACAAAGACAGTGATTTGCTGTATGCATGGCAGCCTGCGTTAATTGGCCACAAGAAGCGTTGGTCTTATCGTTGGAGGAGGTTTTGTGTGGCGTGTTCTCTTTTCCAGCACACTGATCTTGCATTGTGTGCCAAGTCTTGTCTGTTTTATGCTGTTGCAGTCAGAGGGCAGGCCGTTCTCTTCATGCATGGCTCACTGCGCTTATGTAAGAGCACTACTTAAACCTGGTTACATCATCGACAGGCAGCACTGTGTCAGTGGGTCACTGTGCCACACATTGAGCTGCATGTGGGGCCCTTTAGCACTTTTGGAGCTCTGCTGTTTGTTTTATGCACACACCTACTCACTCATGTGTGCTGGCAAGAACAGTGCACAGGCTACATCTCCTGTATCTCATCTGTTTATTTCAAATCGTATTACTCTTATTTATTCACAAACCAAGGTCTGTAAATAAGAGTCCTCCAGATGTTTATCTGCAAATCATCATCCCAAGTAATTTTGTCCCAATCATAAACTTTCCACCTGTTTTTTGATTATTATTATTTTTTAACCGAGAATAGGCTTAATACTCACAAAAATTATAATCTAATCTAATAATCTAGATAAAAGAATAAATGTTTATGTTAAATGTTGATTTATGGTCATTGGTCATCCCACTACCCCATGGACCAAGGGCTCCTATGTGTGTATTATTATTGAATTTCCCGTGTTCAAATTGTTTGATTTTCTGAACTGTTATTGGCAAAGTACTCCGAGACGACTGCTGTTGAGAATTAGTACTATACAAAACAAAATTGAATTGATCAATAGAAGTTGAAAACTGTCCAAGAAAATTTCTACATCATACTTTTTCTGGCTGCTCAAAAGAGACACTTCAATACTTTGAATAATTATTGACAGAATCATGAGTGATGAATTTTTTGGTTTGGTTTTTTACAACTCCAATTGGCCAAATTGACCTACTGGGAACAACAAAGTATACTTTTATCTTAACCTTAACTTTTGTATATTATGCATTCAATGGTCCTTCATACTGAACATTTTTACTGACTAGATTTAGTTGTACATTTTATACGGATAGAACTGACAGTAAAACATTTAATTTCAGCCTCTATGTTTTCACTCTCTTTTGATGCTTCTATTGCCCCTCAGTGCCAGTAGGGGGTTCTGTCTCCAAAATCCACTCTCACTGCTCTTGTATCCTTCTTTCACCTTTTACCCCAGGTTTGGCTCCGGGTTCCCTTTGCCAGCTCCGCCTCTTTGCTAGGATGCCTGCCCACTCCGGTCTTTTCCAGCAGCTTGGACGAGGGCAGGTCCAGTCGCTGGCTCTTTCTCTCTTGCTCTCTTCCTGCAGAAACACACACACATGCGGGCAGAGAGGGGGAAGAGCTACAGTGGGAGGAGCCTAGCCGTGCTGAAGCCGAGCCCCCTCTGTCTAGGCACACAGAGTGGAGCAGACAGCCCCAGCCTTGCACACACACACACACACACACATACTCTCCCTTCTCAGTTACATGCACGGTCACACACGAACCACTGCTGCCACTAAACTGGCGTCCGCCTGCGGGGAGCAAACCGTGACCAAGAAGCAAGCTATAGGAAAGAGTTTGTGGAAAACAGACATCTTGTAGACCAGAAGACATCTTGCTGTGTGTGGCATCTGGACTTTCTTCTCCTCTTTTCATCCTTCACGCAGCTATCGGCACCTATCTGCTTATCTATCCATCGCGGAAGCTTAACAAAAGACAGTGGCAGTTATAGCTACGGATTCTCTGCTCCACATCCTGAGTAGTCTGAGCAGGATAAATCACAAACTGGAATACAGCGCCTGGTGGGATATCCTTCTTGTGTGGGAAAGGGAACTCAAAAGAGGAAGAAGATAAAGACGCTTGGAATCGTTTCAAGGGGCATGCTTGGGGCAGCGGAGAAGAACAACAAGTCTGTTTTTTAGTCTGCAAGGAGCCGGCAACTGGATCGTTCCTTCCCTCCTCCTCCCTTCATCCTTGCTTTCTTTCTCTCTCTTCAATTACATCCATTGTTTCTCCCGTATCTTCCCTATGCCCTTTCCTTATCACTCTAGATCACCTTGTGTTTGTGGATGGTCAGGACCAAGCGTAGAATGGTTTAAAGAATTACAAGACGAATAGACTGGCGAGAAGTCCCCAAATCCTGCCCGACTAACCGCTGTGTGCGTTCTTGACACAGTACTCTTTGACACCAGCAAGAAGAGGAGGGATTTTGTTAGGCATCCTTTCTGATCTTGAAGGATCCAGGCCAGCCAGTCTTCAAGCTTTCAAATCTCCAGCATCCAGGATCTTCAAGAGGATTCCAGCTACATGGGAAAACGCTTGGAACAGCAGCCAATGTACCCCCACTACACCTACTACTACCCCCACTATCTCCAGACTAAGGTAAGCTTATCCATCCCATATTAATCAACTTATTATCAAAGAAGCTAGAGCCTTTGTGCAAGCATTAAGTCTGTTGAAGTGCAGAGTTTGGGGGGGGGGGGGGGGGGGTATTAATGTACCGGCCATTATGCACAACTGAGCTATAGGTGTTAATATATAATTATGGATAAATGACAAATGCACATTAAAAACTAATTAATTAGGTGTGTAGCTTAAGATACACACACAAAAAGTTTTATTTTTTCTAATTGTGTGTGTCTCCTTTTTTTTCTTACACAATAAAATTACCTTATTGCCTTAACATTAAATTACGTGCCAGCATCAAAAGATTAAATGTAGACGGGAGACCTATATATTTTAAGTATTTACTTACTTAAGTATTTAAGTAAGTTATTTGTCCGCCTTGGTAATCATGTGAATATTTTTTAATTTCCAATTTTTCTCTCTATGCACAATAACTGACTGTACAGGTTATTTCTTTAAACAGACATCCTTCTTTACAAATGTGTCATTCATTCACCTCTGTTCTTTTCTGCTCGGAGTCCTTGACCCCACTGTCCCCTCTCTGACCACCAGCTCTAAGTTCAAGTTCAGGGCAAAGGGGCCCACTCGTCCCTCCTCATACTCATTCTCTGTCCCTCTGTCTCTTTGTCATGCAACCACCAACTCAGGCTCTCAGGCTCTCATCACCGGCCATCCCCACCCCATATTCCCACAGCCCAACATCATGATGGCGTGCTAAAGACATGATTGATGAAACTCGAGGGTAATGTATAGCGGCAGATATGAATCAGATAGAGTCGAAGGGCGAAAGGAAAGATGGTTCATTTTAGCTCTTCAACCAACACAGATGGTACACACACTTGAGTCTTGAGGTTGCTTTCATATGGCTCATATGGATCGTTTTCATTGTCTGCCATTTGTTTTTATTCATTTGATTTACTATATAGTGTTGATAGTTTAGCTTCAAAAGATATGTCTGCAGTTTAGTGTCAATTTTGACACTATTTATTTATCCTTATATGGCACAGATTTTTAACAACTTGATCACTGATCAGCTAATATTTTCAATTTGATGTGACATTGAGAAATTTTGAAATAAAAAGTTATTCTTTTTATTAGGATTTTTGTTTTTATTAAACCAGAAAACTCCCATTGAGATTTCAGTTTGGGGGGGATTTTCATTGGGGGTCCCTGGCCCCAGAGAGAGGAGACAGGGATCGGGTCAGGGATGGTGTGATGGGGGAATATTATATATGTTTTTAGTGGTAGGGGAAACTTACACAGACATGGGGAGAACATGCAAACTCCACATAGAAAGGCCTGGAGGTGGAATCGAACCCAGGACTTCAATTGTGAAGCATAACCGCCAACCACTGTGCCACCTTGCCGCCACAGTGATCTGGTGCACTGAAGGCATTCTTATTTAAATATTTTAGACACTGGATTTTTTTAGACACTAATTTTTCGATTTCACTTGATGCGCCTGTCAGTTGCACACATTGCTGCATGCTGAAATGACGTCATTGTTAACAGACACGTCCCTCTGCATTGTTTCTGCATGGACCAGATTTTCTGCGTTGGCGTCGGGAAAAAGTGCAATCTTCCAGAAGTTTCCATGTGGAAAAACATAGTTGCCTTGTAAATGTACTACACTCCCCTCCCTGGTTTTGTGAGAAATCAGATTTTTGTGCAAATTTTGACCGCACAAAAACTGTGCTCATAGCACAGTGTCCATGCAACACTTTTTGCACGTCCTGTATTTACAGAGCTTTATATTATCTTTTTCCATCGCCATATCTATATACGCTTGGTCTGAAAAGTTCCACGATCTAATCTCATCTATTTGTGTGTGTGATATAGTTGAAAGATTTTGTAATTCCAACAAATTCTTAAGGAATATCACCTGTTTAAATTATAATTGATCACTTTACACCAAAAAATCCACAGTTTGTGAATAGGATAAATTGGCGCCTATGGTCCAAGGTAGGATCCCTTGGTATCAATCACAACCAGACACTAAAATTATAAATCAAATGATTGTTAAAATAGGTTAGCATTTGTAACAGCATAGTAAGAACCTTACTTGTAATCCGTTCACTATGAAAAGTCGAATCTGTCATTTAGGCACATACTTAAAGATATTGTGTTTTGGAGTTTATAATTCTAGTCCATAGTCAAATTTGAAGAGCAAAACAATGCCGGTTTTTTTTGTCCAGAATAAAAAGATTGAGACTTAAGTGTGTCAATTGAAGATTAAACATTTATAGAAAGAAATAAAGTGTTGCATTGTTCAGACAGAAACGACGCCATTCAACTATGTGTTACGTTGAAAAACATTGTGGCTGTTTCCCATCAATGCCAGGCTTTTCACACCTGGATACTTTCAAAACAAAAATGCTTGAGCATACATACAGTAAATTTGAGAGGGAACATAACCGCACTAAAATTAAAAACATTGTTACCATCCATTTGCTTGATCATTTATTTATTCCCTGAACAGTGGTGTGTTCATTAATTCACTGACACATTAATAAATCTAGTTTTATTTTTCTCTCCACAATTTTTTGGAGAGCCACATTGATCTTACCATTTATTTTAATTCCCTTTTAACCATATTGGAAAAACAAGGAAAAAGACCTGGTTGGACAAATATAATATGGCCTCGGGGTTTCCACAGTCTTTATTTTACAATGATTGGACCAATAATCTCAGAAAAAAAAAATCATATTTAAAGTTGTAAACAACACGAAATTGTACAATATTAAAACTAATAACAAGCCTGAGTTCCCAACACATGCACCAGCGGGGGGACAGGCGCTGAACTTACTGCAATTATGAATATTAATAAAACAATTCGGCAAGTAAAAAAACAAAGTGAAAGGTGATGGTACATGACTGCGAAGAGGTACCGCTGCATGCTGCTGCTCTGGCTCAGCTCTTCTCTTTATGCTGCATTAAGTGAATCCAGCACAAGCTTGTTTACACATGTAAGTTTGGTCTAGTGCAAAATTAGGAAATAGTATACTTTATTACCCACCATTTAATATTATTTATGGGTTTTTATTCTATTGCAAGACATTCAGGTGTAGTTAAAGATGACATTGAATAAAATATATGATTATTATTATTATTATTATATGATTGAAACCACATTACACTTACATTTACCAGAAAACAGAATTTGAAAGTGCTGACATGCCTCACACACATCTATGTTAGATTGATTCCCTGGATTTATTCACATGCATCAAAGCGTTTTTTGTGTACAGATGTCACTGTGTCACTGGGATGTCTGTTTCTCCATGATTTATCTCCACCAGTTCAAGGTCATTTCTCAAGTATCTGCAACAGGCATCCGGCCCACGGCATCTCTTTATTTCTGCCTCTCCATCTCTTGCCAAATCCCTCCCACCTTCCCATAACCTCCATCGCTTTCAAGGTCAAATCAAATTGGATCCTGGCTTTCCTCCTGTATGTCGCCCATCAGTCCGGTGCTTGTTTGCTTCCACATATCCGTATATTAAAGCTGTTTGTGTGCCTCCTTCAACCTGTGACATGCATTTCTGACTTTTGTCATGTCCTGCTCTTAGCTTTCCGTCTTCTCAGGGCAGGTCACTTTCTGGGACCTAATAGTAGGCTAGCACTTGTTATAAATAGTTTCTCTTTTTAGAATCTTGATCAAATCCTATCAAAATCACAAAATAACAACAAGCTTATGGTGAAAATGGCCTCTGATTAATCTTGCTTGCATAGAACAATACTGCTCCATGACAAAGTGTGTGTGAATGTGAGGCTATTAACTGGAGGATTGCCTTGCTTCTGCCTCCATAATAGGCTATAGGTACAGTTAGTGTACATTAGCCCATGTGTGGGGAGCCCTTATGCAAGCTTTTAATCATGCTGCAAGAGGGTTTGTGGGGATCGCTGCTTGGGTTAATGTTCAGGCACAGATGCACAGTTGTGTTTTCTGTTTGTTAAAATGTAACCACAGGCTACGACAAGTTGGGACTTTGGCCTGAGGAGTCAAATGTGTGATGTGCACACCATTCAAACAGTAGACTTTGTTACTGCTGTCATTTGGCTTCTGTGTTGTCCATCTGCATAGTGTAGCTGTCCTTTGGGGGTGCTCTGCCCGTCAAAGGCCACTAAAACCACTAATTAGATCTAATAAAAATGCAACAAATGAATGTGGGCTGTGACTGCTGTTGCAATGACTGTGTTTATTTAGTAGATCATAATACACTAGTGCATGGCAGTGGGCCTCATCCACAAGGTACAGGGTATTGCTGGCATAAAAGCATATGTTAACTTATTTAATGGGACATTGCTCCTAGTTTTTTATTGTAGGTGTATTTATTTTCTACAAGCCACGCCTCATTTTCTCTTCAAAGATGAACTAGTTGAGTGCATTCATAAGCCTCGCATGGTGACTGACTAAGGATGTGGAAGTTTCTTGATAATTACCAAGAGAATGATAAGAGGCAGCTTAAGAAAAAAGTCACATTATCAACAGAGCAATCATTAGTTTGCTGCTGATCAGTGCGCTAATACACTCAGTGGCACACAAGGAGTTTTAATTAGGCTAATGAGAAACAGCATTCAGCTGATATCAAAGTAATGACACATGCGGACACGCCGGACATCTAAATAGAATATTCAATCACTTCAAAAATGAGCTTTTCACATTCAATTACTCTCTATTATGCACTAGATAAATGCGGTCAGCACCAAGCTTAGCACTAGTGAGTAAACACGAGGCAGAAATGAATGAATGGAAGGGCACACAAGAGCAAACACTTAAATGGCATTGATTCTGGACAACTTTCAGAATTGAAACATGTACAGTACATGGCAAACCTTATTCTAGGCAGGAATGATTAATACATTTAATCAGATTCTTTGATTACAAAAAAGCGTTGATTAAAATTACATGAATCTTTGAAAGTGCACCAAATGAGTTTCTGCTCTTTCACATTGAGCCGCGTCCATGTGGCTAC